TACATGAAAATTGAGATACACCAGCTTATCAAATTGTGCTCACTGTGGTGCGCTCGGTTTTATGTACCTTGACTAGTCTTTGAATTCTGGGGTGAAACAGACCAGTCAAGAAACCTGTTCCATAAGGAGAGCCACTAATGCTAAAGAGATGTGGGATGACGTTTCCAGAGACCTTCATTACCTCCCAAAGGGGGTGCCCCGCCATTTGCCAATCCCTGCTGTAGTTGTTACGATTGGAGGGTGAATATGAGAACGATGCAGGTCGTGCCAGCTCGATCATGACGAACACAATGGTGCCGACATCACAGCTCTACTGCCATTTTTGACGAAGTTAATCAACAAGCACCGGAATCCTACCCTGGGGCATTTCACCTGCAGAGGTCGCCGGACCTGAGACCCTTTCACTCAATTTTTCAACGGTGCATGCGCTCGTTTTTCCCGCGAAGCTCTTGGCAAGTAAAATCCATCAGAAAGTGTGATCAAATAACGGCTGGTGACCTTCCATGACCTAGCATGGCCTTTTGAGTGACCACCGATGACATGACCACTGACGGCTAGCCATTAGCTGCACCCTGCCCGTTGCATATGGATCAGGTGGTGATGTCATGATTCTGAAATTATATTGCAGTTTTGGCGCACTTGTCAGAGCAGAAGACATTCCCACTTTTCCTCCATGACTATATGATGGTGAAGCCCTGAAGCTGACCAGACGTAAGATCGAAAATTTGAAAGTACGAAACGTAAGAATAGCTGGCACTGCTACTCATACCTAAGCAATTCGCAGCTTGTAGGAAACCAGCTTTGAGTTGGCAAGACTGCAAATTTTGATTTAGAGGCAAGGATGCTTGAAAAGGTGATCGATCTTAGGTGTCCTAGGATAAGTTTGGAAACGGGATGCACCATTCGATGTGTTTTGGGCCTTGCCAAGTTTCGCGGCGTTACGTGCCTCGTTTTTTTTTTTTTGCATACACGATCAGTATCTACTTTTGGGATTTTCGATTTTCGGTCCCCGTCCCCCCCTATCGAAAACCCGTGGCGCCGCCCCTGATCTCAACTCAAAACTAATGTTAAGGTGGGAGTGTCCCTTTAACTGCAACGAGCCATGTCGCCACTACCAGGGCCACAATCAGCTGTTGTTTTCTTATTCAGAATATCTCTGATTTTAACGAGATTTTATGGGAAATAAATTGACACTTATTTTGATATTATTTAATATTTACATGGCCTGGAACAGCTTTGGTCTTCCTCTTTCATCAATCTATGACATGTTTACAGGTAAAGTGTAACAATGGTGGTGTGCACCTACTACAACCAGGGATACTGCCGCTATGGTGACCGGTGCAGGTTCGACCATCCCTTCAAGGGCCCAACAGCAGGTAAGAAATGCTCCTCAAGACCTCAAGGTAGACATGTGCTGCCTGCTTGTCATGCACCACCATTTTTTATAATCCATATGCTTGGAGCTCCTTGGAGCTGTCAACCTTTTGCGATGGATGTTGAACCTAACAATTTAAGGTCAACTTTATTGTTGTTGTTTTTTCGAGCTGAGGTGTTCAGAAGTTGCGACAAAGTTTTAGATATCTCATGTTATATTAGATTAGATTAGATTAGGTCTTGAGTTTGCAAATGATAATTGCAGAGCATGTTTTCACGCTGATGGTATGACTGAATGCTCCCTTCTGTCAGTGTTTGTCTTGTGACCACTCCTCCTGATTGCCACAGGCGCTGGGGCCAATTATCGAGCTCAGGCACAGCAACCAGCTGCTGCAGCAGGCACTCCCAGCTCATTCAATGAGTTGCTGTAAGTACCTTATGTTTACTGACAAACTTAACCTGGGGGTTCTGTCTCTTCATAGATATGACATATCTGATATCAAGACAGTTTTATGTTATTTCCTCATTTATACAGTCGCTTTGCCACTTATTTTCCCACCAAAATGTAGTTTGACCTTCCAATGACTCGAAACTATTTTCTCCAGCACCGGGATCGCCAATGAAATGAAGGTGTGGGAGAATTCAAAGCAGTGGCCCTTCTCCTGTTTCTCACCACTGAAGGGCCAGCCCTGCATCCCAGGTGAGAAACCTACCCGACTACTGCATCGTGTGGCGGCTCTGACGATTGTTATTATCACTAAACGGCCTATTCCCCTATTTCCAGCGCCACACTGATATTCCCGATCACGATTCTGTCTGAGAAATTGTTTCGTTTCTCATGGTTCATTATATGAGAACACAACTATATAGAGTGGCATGCCACACTTTCATCACAGAGGACAGAATATGTACGTAATCTGTCACTGTGACTGCACGCTCCAGGGCTGTCTGACCTGACATGGAGTATTAGCTGTCAGAGGTCTGTAATTGTGTATGGCTTGCCCTCTCTATCCCGTGTGACCTTCTACTGCTCCACGCGCAGGGCTGACTGACCTGTCACCAGAGGAGGTGCGGGCAGAGGCGTACAAGAGCAAAGTGGCCAACACGCCGGACGCTTATGTAAGTGTGCTGTTACCTTACATCCTACTTATACTTCTGATGGCAAGCGGCGAGAACTCGACTTAACTGATGGGTTTTCCCTGCGTTGGGCGTGCTGCCTTTTTCTGCTGCTGGTTCGTTTTAACTTTTGCTATCGCTAGCCTTCTGACACACTGCGTTCAGTTGCAGTTCTTCAACGCCAAGGTGGCCGAGTATCGCCAGAAGCGGGCGTCGCTGCATAACGCCTCGCCCGAGATGAGGACATACATGGTAAGTGTCACCGCTCTGACATACGGGGGAGGCGGCCGGGGGACGGACGGTTGGGGGGGGGGCGTGTCAATGCCATTCCCGATGGTGGGAGGGTCGGTCATGGTCTTATTTGACGTATTGCAATGAAAAGCCATGTTCCATGAATTTGGTATGAACAAAGTATCTGTAGACGGTATCTGTATCTGTATCTCAGGGAGGTTAAAGACAGAGGGCAGGCCCAAGCGATATGATGCTCTTTCTTAGGGCTATGAGGGGAACTCTGTATGCAGAATCCGGAAGCAGTTGGGATGGGACGAATCCGCTGGAGTAGATTTTTATCAATCAAAATTGAACTTTTTTAATGAAGTTTTGTGCTAACTGTTGTGTGTGTCGATGACATGACGGTTCAGCTTGGTGTGTAGATTGCGTATGGCGGTGTCCCCCAATGGATACGGTTAATTGTGACGGTGTTTACCAGTCTTCAGTGTAGTGTGTGACCGTGACCGCCAGTGAGGGTATGCCAGTGTGTGACCCGTGCCTGTCTCTGACCCGCAGCAGCAGATGTTCAGCTCGTCTCTGAGCGGCAGCAGCAGCGGCGGCAGCTCGACGTTCGGCGGCGCTCCGCAGACCTCAAAGTCTCTGTTCGGCGGCGGTGGCGGAGCGGCCGCGCCCACCGGTGCGGGCCTGTTCGGAAAGTCTACCGGGCAGTCGGTGCTCGGCGCTCAGACCGGCTCCGCGTCTGTGTTCGGGGCGAGGCCGCAGCCGACCGGCTCAGTGTTCGGTGGACAGACCCAGCCAGCGGGGTCTGTATTTGGAGGACAGAGTCAGCCGGCAGCCGGGTCAGTGTTTGGCGGGCAGAGCCAGACGACCGGGTCGGTATTCGGAGGACAAGCGCAATCAACAAGCTCGGTATTTGGAGGACAAAGCCAGCCAACAGGTTCGGTGTTTGGAGGTCAAACACAGTCAACAGGGTCAGTGTTCGGAGGTCAAAGCCAGCCAGCAGCTGGATCAGTTTTTGGAGGTCAAACTCAACAGACTGGGTCAGTCTTTGGAGGTCAAACTCAACCGACTGGATCAGTTTTCGGGGGCCAGTCCAAGTCGGGTGGATCGGTATTTGGAGGGCAAACTCAGCCGAGTGGATCTGTGTTTGGAGGACAGAGTGGGTCGACCTTTGGCGGACAGACTCAGACCACCGGCTCAGTCTTCGGCGGTCAAACTGCGTCCACCGGCTCAACGTTCGGCAGTCAAGCTCAGACGACCGGTTCAACATTTGGTGCGCAGCCTCAGACGACTGGGTCGACGTTCGGCGGGCAGACTCCGGCGGCCAGCTCGGTGTTTGGCAGCCAGCCGGCGCCGGCCGCCGCCGGCCCCGCCGGCTCTGTGTTCGGTGGCCAGGCAGCACTGCCCGGAGCGCAGCCGGCCGGGGGAGGCGGGGGCCTGTTCGGGAAGGGCGGCGCGCCGGCGGCTGGCGGGGCCGGCACCCAGCCGACCGCCGCCCCCGTCGACGCTTACAGCGAACCCTCGGAACTGAACGAACAGGATCGCGAGCAGTTCGCGGCGGCCGAGTTCACACTCGGTAAGGTGCCGCTCGCCCCGCCGCCGAGGGAAATGTGCGCTCGTTAAAACTGATAAATATATGCACTTGCTGAGATCGAGGATGGACGGGATCGCCCAGAATCCGCAGCTGTCGGAGAAAACAGGGGGGGGGGGGTTCTGATCCACCCTCGTGGTCTGATCTGGTCCCAGTGAACCACAACTGATCTCCCGTCGTGCGCCGCTGTGCGGGCGTCCTATCAAAGGTGACCCTGCACTCTACACCGCCTGGTCAGGCTCGATGTGTCCGTGTGGCTACTAGCGCTGACGGTCGTATGGGTGCATGAATATCGCAAGACTTCGCACCTGATTGTAAGAGCGACGATCTTGCTTGTGATGAATAGTTTTTACGATAGAAGTTGTACGCAATGAGCTGAAATGTATTTTTGTATTTTGTTGAATGTGTACCTAAGCACGTAAAAGATACATTGTAAAAAATATAAGATTGAAATGAAACAGGTGTATGTAGCACTGGTTGAAAGCTCAACGAGAGAGGTTGGAAACAGGTGGAAAACCAGAAAAAGCTGTGCTAAGCTCCATGAACAACAGTTCGTCGTCAGCTCGACCAGTCTTGGACAGCTTTTACCATGCGTCATGTATGCACCCGGGGAAACCGAAGCCCATAATCGCCTCTAAATCTAGGCACATCTGCCGTGTGAGTAGCAGCCAAAAAGGCGAGCGTAATATAAGTACACAAATAAAAACATCTGTATTTCCAGTTCACAGCACGCATGTCTTATCCCAATAAAAATCAACAATCCTCCATATTTCACGACTCTGTCCCCGCGGTTACCACAGGTTCAGGCACTGACCCGCCGACACAGTCGGCACTCCCCCCCCCCCCCCCCCCGAGTCATGTCACGACGCGCCGGCGGCCGGCTGGCACCTTCCGTCGCCGTGCGCCGCGCACCTGCACTCCGCTCCGACCGTCTCCGTCTCTCCCTCGTCCTCGTCTACGGGCTCCGGTGGTGAGAACTCCCGGAACACGTTGTAGGGCTCGGCCATGGAGCTGTCGGCGGCAGGCTCACATTCGGAGACGTGCCGCGAGCGGGCCTCGGCCGCGGCCGCCGCCGCCGCGCCCGACGGCTCGGCCGCCTCCGTGTCAATCAGGTCACACGCCTGCCGAGCGGGCGACGCGGCCGTCACACGGGGGTATACGATCATAGTGGACGACGATAAGAGACGTAAATTGTGATGAACGGTATAGCTATATGAAATGCACATATGCAGGACTAAAGATCATGTCAAGATCTCAAGCTTGAAGCTACTACCGTTTTTTCGAAAGTTTGGCTAGAACGCGTCTGTTTCACAACTAGATCCTGATTCGACGTTATCGTTTTAAATATAAATTTCGTTAAAGAAAATACATTTTAGGCTTAATATTGCGCTTTGCAGACCACAATCTTGGAAAGCAAAAACAAATAATTTCATCCCATGCAAGCTTGATGCATCTACATAGAAACTGACCCCGCACAAGGGCACTCTCCCAACCACACAGCATTGCTAAATAATAAATTGATACACAACTACGCAGGCTGCACCCCGCTCGACTGAGGTGGCATCGCTCTCACCTTGCCCAGTATGATGATGGTGTTGAGCACGCGGAAGGCGGTGAGCGCCAGGTAGGCGGCGGCCAGCACAAGCCACGAGGCGGCGCCGCTGAGCCGAACCGACTGCATCAGAATGCGTGCCGTGAGAGCGGCCAGCGGCAGCGAGATGAAACCCATCCGGTGGCTGACCACGTCCGAGTGGTCACTGAAGGCCTGCGGGAGGGAGGGAGTGTCACTGGTCACTGAACGGACATCCACTGAACGTCTCCAAACAGCCAGTGGTCGGCGATAACTCATGAACGCCTGCCGAGGAGGGGAGGGTGTCACTATCAATGGTCACTGGACGCCTGAGGGGGAAGGGGAGGGTGTCAGTGGTCCCCGAGGGAGAGGGGAGCGTCACTGGACTGGCAGCGGGACCTCACTGATCACCTAACAAATGACAGATAGGTTGATCACAGGCAAGAAATGTCACTCGTTGCCAACGAGATTTTACTCTATCGAATCATACGCGAAAATAAGCATTTTACACTCACTCTGCAGCAAATCACATAATGCGTGGGCCATGTATTATTTAGAGTATTCATATGACATCGTTACTAAAGGTCAGCGTCACGCCACTCACATATTTCTGTTTGCTGGCTATGAGATCGTAGGCGAGCGTTAGGGTGTACTCTCGGTAGATGTCGGCCGGGATCTCGTTAAACCGCGTGATGAAGGCGTGTTTCACCCAGTCGACAAACAGCTCGGCGATCAGCACCATGGCGCAGTCGGGGAGCAGCACCCACAGCTGGGCTGTTGGGAAGAACAGACAGCCACTGCAGTCAGCATACATATTCAGTCAACACTCAACAGCTGGGCTGTCGGACAAACCAGATAATAAACGCCAGTCGGGGAGCAGCACCCACAGCTGGGCTGTCGGACAGAACAGACAATATACATCAGTCGGGGAGCAGCACCCACAGCTGGGCTGCCGGACAGAACAGACAGTCACCTCATTATAGCACAGATAATATACACCAGTCGGGGAGCAGCACCCACAGCTGAGCTGTCGGACAGAACAGACAATATACATCAGTCGGGGAGCAGCACCCACAGCTGGGCTGCCGGACAGAACAGACAGTCACCTCATTATAGCACAGATAATATACACCAGTCGGGGAGCTGCAGCACCCACAGCTGAGCTGTCGGACAGAACAGACAATATACATCAGTCGGGGAGCAGCACCCACAGCTGGGCTGCCGGACAGAACAGATAGTCACCTCATTATAGCACAGATAATATACACCAGTCGGGGAGCAGCACCCACAGCTGGGCTGCCGGACAGAACAGACAATATACATCAGTCGGGGAGCAGCACCCACAGCTGGGCTGCCGGACAGAACAGACAGTCACCTCATTATAGCACAGATAACATACACCAGTCGGGGAGCAGCACCCACAGCTGGGCTGCCGGACAGAACAGACAGTCATCCACTACAGAGTCAACAGCTGGGCTGTCGTATGGAACAGGCAGTCACCTCATAGCACAGATAACATACATCAGTCGGGGAGCATCACCCAAGGGTTGATGGACAGCACATCCAGTAAACACAGCTGGTTTCACAACGTTGAAGGAATTTTTCCTTTGGACAAATCCGATATTGACTCGAAGTCTCGGTCACTCGGAAATCATCGCCCCCCCCCCCCCCTCCCTTCCGTCATAGAACACCAATCACTCCGGCGGTGTCCCACCTACCCTCGCTCCATCCGAACTCCTTCATGGTCTGCACGACCACCAGCATGAGCAGGATGCAGTACTGGAACCGCTCACGGATGTCGCTGCACGCCACCTGCAGCAGGTTGTTGCGGTCGAACTTCTTGAACACGGAGCCTTTCAGCTCGACAAACTGGGCGGAGGGGGAGAGCGGCCGTCAGTCGTGGTGAGGGCCAGAGTGGCATGGTCAGCTGTACACAAACTGGAAAAGCAAACACTAGCTGAGTCTAACAAAGGACTAAAAAAAAGGAAACTCCGCCAGATGCTATGCGATTCAGATGTGATCGGAGGCCAATTTTGCTAACAGAAAATTCACCTGCAACGGTTAGCTTTGAACTGTGTTTCGGTCTTTAGCAGTAAGTCACCAACAAGTTTGAAGAAATATAATATCAGCATAGACTTTATTTTACATTCATAACGCCTGCGTCAAATAATCCTAACGGCCATGTCATTATAAACGACGCATTTATCGAAATAGTGCCGGGCTAAATGTCTGTCAAACGCGTCATTTCTGACACATACCTCTGACATTTGTTAGCCGACCAGTGACACAGGCGGGGGAGGAGTTGACAGGGGCCGCCCGGTAACCGTAGTAAAAGTCATCGTCATTATTCAGCGAACGTGATGGCCGCCGCCCGATGGCACCATTGACACCTAACTGGTGGGACCAGGCTTCCAGACTGGTGGGACAGCTACTTACGTTGTTGGACATCATGACAGTGAGCAGGGCCTTGTTGTTGGAGTTGATGGCAACGTTCAGCACAGTGACTTGAAACAGAATCAATATACTGTGCATGACTGCGTGATACCGAGTCAAGGATAAATAACGCATATGATGACTGACTGTCATTAGCATCTCATTGCAAAGCTCATATGCGCAAAACTGACACGTAAGCACATACATTTGCATAAAACGAAACTATGTCGAACACCCAAGTAATACACAACACATAAATATGCATAAACACTACGCATGCTTCTATCCTCTCCCATTCATCAGCCTTAGCCAACACACCACCCCGCGCCTGACCCTGCGGTCTCTGCCCGGTAAGGATACAGACATAGACGTTGGCCAGGAAGAAGTGTGGCAGGGTGCCCAGGTGCTGCCGTTTGCGGCGGCGCGGCTCAGTGGCCGTCCAGTGCAGAGCGTCCAGAGAGTCCTGGCCGAAGGACGACATCAACTTGTCGCCCACCTCCAGCATGTTGTAGAAGATGTACAGCTTGATGATGGACTGGCTCTTCACCTGAAAAGGGGTTGGGTGAGTCCCACAGTTCCCGGGACTCGACAGACAGTTCCAGTTCAGACACTCAATCACGCACAGACCGACGTCACAGCTTTCCTGTGAACTGACAATCATGGAATGTTCACTTCTCAATAGCTTAAGTTCCCAATAAGAATAAAAAGGCTGATTGACATTTAAGAAAATCGCTTCTATATATAAAAAATATATCCAAGTACGCATCACTGCATCATGCAGGAGACGGGCGGTGGTCACCGGCAGTTGGGCACGCACCACGTGGTACAGCATGGAGGTGTCGATGAAGGCCATCATCCGGCACGTGATGATGACGATCAGGCCCTTCATCAGGTCGATGATCTCCGAGGGCTTCAGCCACTGGCCGTGGCTGCCCTGCCGCCTCAATCTGAGAAAGAATGTCCACTAAATCAACAGACACACCGCAGAGTACACTAGCAAACAGTCGCACTTTACACTAGAACTGGCCGTGGCTGCCCTACATCAGTCTGCAGACACAGGGCCACTAATCAACAGAAACACAACAAATTAAGATTCGACAGATCCTCAAATAGCCTAGTATGGCTGCTACATGTGTTAAAATTTGATTAGACCACCACCCTTGTGGCGCAGTTGGCAAGTGCGTTCACGCTTGGTGTGGGAGGTCCTTGGATCAAAGCTGACCTCTGGCAGCGTTTTCCTCGGCCGGCTCCTACCCAGGAGATGGCAGTAACTGGGGAGCGTTCGCTCGGTCGTGGGGATTAACGCTGTGCCAGCCAGCGCCCCCGGCCGCAGGTACACGGGCCTGATCCGCCTTTAAACAGATCCTTCGGTCCGGTGACATGTCCCGAGGGCACGGCCTCGCTTCATGTCCCGGAGCAGCCCTCTGACCTGCCGGGCCCGAGAAATCGGGATAGCCCCAGCGTGCGCACCAATGCGGTGCCACCTGGGGTGCGTGACAGGAAGCGTGCGGTCAAGGCTGTCCCGCGTAGCGGGTGCCGAAAACGCTTCGTACCACTGCCGTGTAAATAGTGTACTAACTAAACCAGTATGAGTGTGTGCTACTAACGACAAAAAGCCCGGGTCGGGCACCAAAAATATTAAAAAAAAAAATTGATTAGATACCGTACCTTCTAACAAACCACGGCCCAACCCACGGACGTTGGAAAATGAAACCAAATCATCCGAGTTTTCTCATCCGCACTCACGGGTCATCTTTTCATTTTTCCCAAAAGGGCGCCGGCAGACCCTAAAATCCAGCTCATCAATACACCGAGTTCACGTGATAGCACCCATCGTTACCCTGGGGCGTCGCGCCAGTACCGGAGGTGACTTTCTGACCGGTGTGCACGTGGTACACGCGGAGTAGAGAGCTCACCCGATGGCTCCCAGCAGAGGTCTGGTAGCCAGCGCCCACACGGCCAGCACAAAACGCAGCGGCAGGAACGTGAAGATGAACAGGAACGCGTCCACCACCTGGAGGTGGTACAGAGAGAGCACATGTCACTCAGGCGCTGTCCTGGTTAGATGAAGGATGGGTGAGTGAGAGAGAGAGAGAGAGAGAGAGAGAGAGAGAGAGAGAGAGAGAGAGAGAGAGAGAGAGAGAGAGAGAGAGAGAGAGAGAGAGAGAGAGAGAGAGAAAGAAAGAAAGAGAGAAAGAGAGAGAGAGAGAGAGAGAGAGAGAGAGAGAGAGAGAGAGAGAGAGAGAGAGAGAGAGAGAGAGAGAGAGAGAGAGAACATGCAATGATGTGGCGCCTCTAATGGTTTTAAAGGTTTGAAGTGGCTAGTTTTACCGACAGAAAAATCGCCGGCTTCCGACATGTCTATTAATTCAGTGACTATCATTAAGACATTTGTGTACATGGCTAACACGTCTAAAGATAATAAGAGGGAAAGCTAGACTCACCTGGAAAAATCCATAGCCAATCAATTTTTCAATCTCTCTAGGGATCTTCATAAATGTGTATATTTGCTCCCTTTTGAACTCATATCGCTCTTCATGTTGTTGAAGGAAGTAGCTACGAGTTACTTCAGATTTCAGAAACTTGCAAAGTGAAATGCCTGCAAGAAAACAAATATATCAAGGTAGAGCAACTTCTTGAGCCTCCTTTGTAGACCTTCAAAGACAGACCCCATTAGGTAGAGAAAAGGCAATGGTAATGCCATAGATTATGTACCTAAATACCCTTGAAAGCAAGTAAAAACAATTTGCATTCACTTTGTATCAAAACAAAAACATTTAATTTAACTGAGCTAGCAGTTCTCATGCAGATGGAATAGGTAGGTACTCACGATTCTTTCTTTTTCTATCCTGAGCCATGACAAGCCAACAAAGATAAAAGTTCTTCTCCAGGAGCTGATCTTGATTTGCACAGAGGGAGCAAATCCTGGAAGCTTCTCCTGGTAAAGGTAGAAGAGGATACAAGATCAGTCATGCTGTTATGGGGCAGGGCTGGCATACCTACAGCAGAAATCAGACAGCATGTAGCAGAATTGTGTGTTTATCTGACTCAAGAGAGCAGGCTAGTTGAAGCATACGCAAGGGTGGATCCAGGGGCATCTGAAAAGTGGGGCTAAATGCCCATTAGGTTTTTTATTAGCGTGGGGCTGGTTGGATGGTTTGGGTTAAGCACCATATATCCAGCGGGCCAAGAGCGGAGCTCTCACACTGTTCCGAGTGGCCAGGCACTGGTAGCATTGCCCAGGAATGTTAGCATGGGTCTAAGGAAACATAACCTACCCCCAATTCCTATTTTATCCCCAGATTTGGCTTATTTATTTTGCAGGGTTCCCAAAAATAAATTCCAAGTAAACAGAGCCAAAACTTGGCAGCTGCAGATTAAAAGGTGTTAAGAAAAAAGCTGTGGTTGGCAGCTGCCATTTACAAGAACAAGACACTTCCACTTTACATTCAGCTTTCCACTCCTTTTTGGGTATTAGTAGAGCAGACGTCACACGAAGGTTTTCCAACCAGGGAGAGGCGCCATACCCGGTGGTGCTTCTTTCTAGGGAAACCTAAACAAACTAACCTTACCTGACCTAACCTAACCTAACCTACAACCTATAACCTACAAACCTGCAACCTAAAAACCTACAACCTATAACCTACAAACCTACAAACCTACCCTACAACCTACAAACCTACCAGACTGGAAAACATCCATACACTACGCCGGACGCCTGTGAGACCCTCTTGCGCCGAAATTCGTCGCAAGCGATTTTGCGCTGAAATTTCTGTGATTTGCGCCAAAAGTTAGGTGCTCAATGCCCATTTCTGCGAAAATTAAGCCCTTTTTATATAAAGCACATGTGACATGTCATGTGAACATCTACCGATCAAGGCTATATGAACCAGACAGTGTTCCGGGGCCTTGTACGCTCTCCCATGTTTGAGCGTCCGAATGAGTTTTTGATTTCACGGAAGCCCAATACCTCAATAGTCTTAGGGCACTCTAGCTTCATGCCGTGAAACAAAGCTGGAGCCGTGAGTTCCGGGGCCACAATGATGAGGGCCGTGCCACAGTGCCGATGTTAATATCGGCGGAGCAATGTGTTCGAGGCTGGCGGGAGTCAGCGAGGGGACAGCATGTGCTCCGGCACATCACCCTCTTCTCGGCACACGGCACTCGGCACACGGGTCACCGCTTGTCTGGGCACTGCTGGCACGCCGCGGAGTGGAGACAGCCGATTCGGTGCCGTATTCGTATTGGAGCGAGCGGCCCCAAGTGGCCCGCCCTCATCTGGTGCACCGAAACGGCATCCTCGGTCCTCTCCGGGGATAGGGAGCGGCGGCGTGCTCCCGAGGAGTGGCTTGAAATGAATAGTGATTCTGAGCAGTTGTCGCGCTCTGCGCCGGACAGTGCGATGCGAGGCCGCACAGTGAACCGCCCTGGTCAGCGAGTGGGCGTTTGAGGGCAGGGCGGCCGCCTGTTTTGCCAGGTCGTCCGCGCTCTCATGCCCACTGCGGTATTGCTTAACGACGCTTGGCAATGTTCAACAAGGTCTTCTTTACCTATCTCCACGCCGAGGGTCCAGCGTACTGCATAAATTCGGTGATCGTATTTTGCCAAAAAATTATGTGTACGCCCTGCGCCGAAAAATTAGTCCGCCGCCATGCGCTGAATGCGGCACATGCGAAGTTACGCCGGACGTGCGCTGAAATTTTTGGCGCAATCCCGCCACTACGCCGGACATATTCGGCATAACGTGTATTTTTTCCAGTCTGGCAAACCTACAGCGCCTCTCCTCGGTTGGAAAACCTTCGTGTGATGTCTGCTCTACTAATGCCCCTTATTGTTCCCTCATTTTCCACTTATCTTCACTTTATCATGTATTTACAATTTACATCTAAATTTGCTACTTCCTTATGAGCCCTGAAGTAATTCAAGGTGACGAGCAATTAACCCTGAGGAAGGAATATAAAACACTAGCTGCATAAAATGGTACCAATATCAATATCAACCGGACTACCGACCCCAACGAAGGTATAAATCACAGTTAGTATAAACAGTTAGCAGCCTTCCAGCGGTTTATATAGCCTTGCTTCCATCCAACTGCATCCAACTACCGCCAACAACACTTCGAATTGTAAGAGAGTAGGTACAGGTACAAAGGCTATGAAGGTACCAAATAATTTTACACCGACGATTTTTACAGCCAACATCAACATGTATTCCTAATTCAATACCCTTATCCGATATGGCACGGTCATAGATACTAACGATATACCAGCTGCTAATCAGCAGCTTTTGGATATCGCATCCACTTCCATCGTTTCCAGAACACATTTCACCGAAGGTGGTGTATGTAATAAATGTATCATTCCCACGCGACGACGCGCACGCCACTAGGGGCGCGTCGTGTCGGCTAGGGGATTTTTGTATGTCCGTGAAGTTAGCGTCAGCAACAGCAACGAATACAGCGTCGGATTCAGAATCGCTTAAAAAACTCATATTAGGTCAATGCGGGGACGGGGAGCAAGAGTATGACCTTTATTTGGCCCTAGCTCTTACCCCTTACCCCTTAATCGGCCCTTAAAGGAAGGGGCCCGTCAAAAGTGCCTCAAGGGTTCGTCTGATCGCCAAAATAAGGGTCGCAATCGATTCCTCGGGTCAATATCTAGCCGCAGCCTCGGGTTCCAGATGTGTGCAACTTACCCCTTACCCCTTAATCGGCCCTTAAAGGAAGGGGCGCGTCAAAAGTGCCTCAAGGGTTCGTCAGATCGCCAAAATAAGGGTCGCAATCGATTCCTCGGGTCAATATCTAGCCGCAGCCTCGGGTTCCAGATGTGTGCAACTTACCCCTTACCCCTTAATCGGCCCTTAAAGGAAGGGGCGCGTCAAAAGTGCCTCAAGGGTTCGTCTGATCGCCAAAATAAGGGTCGCAATCGATTCCTCGGGTCAATATCTAGCCGCAGCCTCGGGTTCCAGATGTGTGCAACTTACCCCTTACCCCTTAATCGGCCCTTAAAGGAAGGGGCGCGTCAAAAGTGCCTCAAGGGTTCGTCAGATCGCCAAAATAAGGGTCGCAATCGATTCCTCGGGTCAATATCTAGCCGCAGCCTCGGGTTCCAGATGTGTGCAACTTACCCCTTACCCCGGCCCTTAAAGGAAGGGGCGCGTCAAAAGTGCCTCAAGGGTTCGTCTGATCGCCAAAATAAGGGTCGCAATCGATTCCTCGGGTCAATATCTAGCCGCAGCCTCGGGTTCCAGATGTGTGCAACTTACCCCTTACCCCTTAATCGGCCCTTAAAGGAAGGGGCGCGTCAAAAGTGCCTCAAGGGTTCGTCTGATCGCCAAAATAAGGGTCGCAATCGATTCCCCGGGTCAATATCTAGCCGCAGCCTCGGGTTCCAAATGTGTGCAACTTACCCCTTACCCCTTAATCGGCCCTTAAAGGAAGGGGCGCGTCAAAAGTGCCTCAAGGGTTCGTCTGATCGCCAAAATAAGGGTCGCAATCGATTCCTCGGGTCAATATCTAGCCGCAGCCTCGGGTTCCAGATGTGTGCAACTTACCCCTTACCCCTTAATCGGCCCTTAAAGGAAGGGGCGCGTCAAAAGTGCCTCAAGGGTTCGTCTGATCGCCAAAATAAGGGTCGCAATCGATTCCTCGGGTCAATATCTAGCCGCAGCTTGGGTTCCAGATGTGTGCAACTTACCCTTTACCCCTTAATCGGCCCTTAAAGGAAGGGGCGCGTCAAAAGTGCCTCAAGGGTTCGTCTGATCGCCAAAATAAGGGTCGCAATCGATTCCGCGGGTCAATATCTAGCCGCAGCCTCGGGTTCCAGATGTGTGCAACTTACCCCTTACCCCTTAATCGGCCCTTAAAGGAAGGGGCGCGTCAAAAGTGCCTCAAGGATTCGTCTGATCGCCAAAATAAGGGTCGCAATCGATTCCCCGGGTCAATATCTAGCCGCAGCCTCGGGTTCCAGATGTGTGCAACTTAACGCTTACCCCTTAATCGGCCCTTAAAGGAAGGGGCGCGTCAAAAGTGCCTCAAGGGTTCGTCTGATCGCCAAAATAAGGGTCGCAATCGATTCCTCGGGTCAATATCTAGCCGCAGCCTTGGGTTCCAGATGTGTGCAACTTACCCCTTACCCCTTAATCGGCCCTTAAAGGAAGGGGCGTCGTCAAAAGTGCCTCAAGGATTCGTCTGATCGCCAAAATAAGGGTCGCAATCGATTCCCCGGGTCAATATCTAGCCGCAGCCTCGGGTTCCAGATGTGTGCAACTTACCCCTTACCCCTTAATCGGCCCTTAAAGGAAGGGGCGCGTCAAAAGTGCCTCAAGGGTTCGTCTGATCGCCAAAATAAGGGTCGCAATCGATTCCTCGGGTCAATATCTAGCCGGAGCCTCGGGTTCCAGATGTGTGCAACTTACCCCTTACCCCTTAATCGGCCCTTAAAGGAAGGGGTGCGTCAAAAGTGCCTCAAGGGTTCGTCTGATCGCCAAAATAAGGGTCGCAATCGATTCCTCGGGTCAATATCTAGCCGCAGCCTCGGGTTCCAGATGTGTGCAACTTACCCCTTACCCCTTAATCGGCCCTTAAAGGAAGGGGCGCGTCAAAAGTGCCTCAAGGGTTCGTCAGATCGCCAAAATAAGGGTCGCAATCGATTCCTCGGGTCAATATCTCGCCGCAGCCTCGGGTTCCAGATGTGTGCAACTTACCCCTTACCCCTTAATCGGCCCTTAAAGGAAGGGGCGCGTCAAAAGTGCCTCAAGGGTTCGTCTGATCGCCAAAATAAGGGTCGCAATCGATTCCTCGGGTCAATATCTAGCCGCAGCCTCGGGTTCCAGATGTGTGCAACTTACCCCTTACCCCTTAATCGGCCCTTAAAGGAAGGGGCGCGTCAAAAGTGCCTCAAGGGTTCGTCTGATCGCCAAAATAAGGGTCGCAATTGATTCCCCGGGTCAATATCTAGCCGCAGCCTCGGGTTCCAGATGTGTGCAACTTACCCCTTACCCCTTAATCGGCCCTTAAAGGAAGGGGCGCGTCAAAAGTGCCTCAAGGGTTCGTCTGATCGCCAAAATAAGGGTCGCAATCGATTCCTCGGGTCAATATCTAGCCGCAGCCCCGGGTTCCAGATGTGTGCATTTTACCCCTTACCCCTTAATCGGCCCTTAAAGGAAGGGGCGCGTCAAAAGTGCCTCAAGGGTTCGTCTGATCGCCAAAATAAGGGTCGCAATCGATTCCTCGGGTCAATATCTAGCCGCAGCCTCGGGTTCCAGATGTGTGCAACTTACCCCTTACCCCTTAATCGGCCCTTAAAGGAAGGGGCGCGTCAAAAGTGCCTCAAGGGTTCGTCTGATCGCCAAAATAAGGGTCGCAATCGATTCCTCGGATCAATATCTAGCCGCAGCCTCGGGTTCCAGATGTGTGCAACTTACCCCTTACCCCTTACTCGGCCCTTAAAGGAAGGGGCGCGTCAAAAGTGCCTCAAGGATTCGTCTGATCGCCAAAATAAGGGTCGCAATCGATTCCCCGGGTCAATATCTAGCCGCAGCCTCGGGTTCCAGATGTGTGCAACTTACCCCTTACCCCTTAATCGGCCCTTAAAGGAAGGGGCGCGTCAAAAGTGCCTCAAGGGTTCGTCTGATCGCCAAAATAAGG